TGTTAGAAATGCAACATTAGCAGAGGTGGTGGGTGCCAGGTGGAATTCCAGTCATCCTTAAACAGGAGGCATTTATTAGGAGGAAACAATGAAACTATACATAACAACCATGTTGCCTACTGTCATGATTTTATTGTGCATCTTGAGACATTTGATGTTTTTCTTAAAGCCCTAGCTTCTGGAAGCATTTGACTAGGTGAGAATCTCAGCACCTATTCTCTCACTCTCTTTTTTCATTATTATTATTATTATTATTATTATTTATAGAGAAATAGTTATAGAGAAAAGCTAGCCCTCATAAGGACTCAAAAATCAGAAGGCAAAAAAAAAAAAATCATGATTTTTAAGCCAATGTTTTTTTGAAGCCTGATTCTTGAATGCTTGGGGTTCGCATTATTTATTATAATAAACAAATAGGCTTCCACACAACTTGTGTTTCAGTTTTGTCTTCCCTTTTTACCAAGAGCCACACACAGTCTACCAGGAACTGTCCATTGTCTGGAATGGAACATACCACAGAGTTATCTAGTTGCAGAATAATATATTGCAAGTACACAGATCATTGCAATATGTAAATAAACCTAAGTATGATTGTAGCTGAGCATTGGGGTCTAGAATACTATGGTTACACAATATTCTTTTCAAATTGCACCATGCAATCCTTAGCTTTCATGTGGACAAGAAATAGGCAACAAGGACTTGTGCTGAAAGGGACCACGGCTGGATCTCTAACCCTGTAATTCATGCTAGCACTGTATTTCAGGCTCAGCGCTAGATGTAAAGCCCAATTTCTGCTACAGAAGATAACCATTAACTGGGCACTAATGACACGCTTCTGCAGAATAGTCTTCTCCTACAGCTTGTCTGAAATGGCTACTCCATTCTTCAGTGTCTCTGAATTTTGTCGCATGCCTCGGTCAGGAATGTTCTTTCACTTGGCTTTCTGTTTATATATTCTTCTTGTTGTTTAGCTGAACCTGGCTTCCTTCAAGCCCCTGCTGCTCAAGGATTCAGAGCAATGGTGTTCATTTATGTTTAAGTCAGTACACGAGTATTAAATAGATGATAAGTGGCCCCATCCTCATAGCCCAGATTTGTTTAAACTGAACACAAAAATTAACGTTCAGACAGGGTGGCAATATACCCGACACAGGGCACTTAAAGCCTCCATTCCTCACAGGAAAGAAGTGTTTTCCCAGCCTCATTGGTCATAAAGAGACATAGCAAAAATCCAGACTTTGGGCTTCATTATGATGAAAAGATCAAATTCACTAGTTTCATGTTGGGTCTGTCTCACACAGTTCACGCAAGCTACACACTTCAGCCACAGATACACCAAACCATCAGCCACATCAAGGTGCCAATAAAATATTCAACATGCAACAGGATAATTAATCCACAGGTCACAGAAACAGCATCCTCTGTGCACTACAAGCAAGACTAGAGGAACAGGAAGGATTCATGTTAAATCTGCAACAATTAAATATAACCTAATATTGCCAACCCCACATGTTCAAAAATCATGAGGATTTTTTTAAATGATAATTTTTGGGTTCTTTCTTTTTGTTTCTGAGCTTTTGAGGTGCACTCAGGTACGTTTTCAAGCTTTTCTCTGTAACTATGAGGGCTAGAAACTTACCTTTTTAAAAAAATAAAAACTGAGATTCTCATGTAACCGCTTGACTCCAGGAGATGGGGCTTTATGAAAAACACCAGATATTGCAAAGTTCACAATAAAATCACAACACTGGCAACCACTGAGAATCATCCAAGCTCTCCATTATTGAAAATTGGGTTATATTCTCTGATTTACATTATTTGCACAGACAAGCTCCTCTTTTATCTATTTATCCCAGTAAATTCCACATCCACCTTCCTGTTCAGGTACATAGGAATTTTTCTGTAGATGGCTTCCATGTAGAAAGCATATCCTTTGGCCACAAAACTGTTTCGAAAATATTTTTCCCCAAGGACAAAAAAACTTGAAGCAACATCTTTAAATCTTTCCACTCCACTGGATACCAAACCCTGGTTAATGTTCAGAACAAGCAATCCCAGGAAGGACTTTGTGGGGATCTCTGCCTTATCAAGACTCCCTGATGGGAGAACCCTTCCCTGCTCATTCCTGCACAACAGGCAAAAAGGTCTAGCAGTGCTCAGCTGAGGTGAAGCCTGCCCCCTCACAGCAATGGCCTGAGCCTCGGTTCAGCAATAGGGGTTTGTGACATTCCCCAGGATGCAACCTGGGCTGTGTCCCCTTAGCTTACTACTCTGGGATGCTTTTTACACAGCTTTGCTAGTGAACTGGGGCTCAGCACTTTCTGAAAACCAGGCCCCTTTAAGATGTGTCAAGCTGGGCACCCAGAAATGGAGGCACTCACAACCCCTAGCTATGTTTGAAAACACTGATTGGTATGGCCAATGCTAGATGTTGAACAAAGCAAGTGCCTTGAAATCCAGGACATGGACTTCACTTTATATTAGTTTTTCATCCTTCCCCTCCCTCTGTCAATAGCAGGAAGAACTTGCCTTTCCAAAAAAGCTGGATTTTAGACTACGCCTCAGGTTGCAGTGAGTCAGGTTTTCATACTGTGTTGGTGATGTTAGGTTTTGTTTGTTTTTTGTTTTTTTCTCTTTCCCTGTCTTGTGGTTTCTTTTCTTTTTGATTTCCTTATGGGATTTTTTTTGGAATTTAAAACAGACAAGTTATCACGATTTTCTCTGGGGCGGGGAGAGAGTGTGGGTAGGAAGCTTGAATAAATAATACCTTCATACATACTACATGTTTGTGCAGAAATTATACTTTACAATTGGTTATGGTTTGCCTTGTAATGCCAAAGATTCTTTCTTTAAAAAAAAAAAAAAAAAAAAAAAGAGGAGACAAGCCCTTTTGGCTTAGAGCACCAGTTCCAAACATTCCTTGGCCTGTTTATGCTCAACAATGAATCAGAAATATCTTTCCCTATATGTTGTTTCAGTCTTTTAAAAGCCTTGATTGCCAAAGACAAACTAGCTACCTAGCAATACGTCTCTTAAAACTCATTTTTCTTGGAATTATGAATACAGATTTCACAGCAAAAGTTAGAAACACAATTAAAGTTCAACCGTGGAGAAGCATTCAATGATCTGGTGTCAGAAATATAAAGGGAAGGGTAACCACCTTTCTGTATACAGTGCTATAAAATCCCTCCTGGCCAGAGGCAACATCCTGTTACCTGTAAAGGGTTAAGAAGCTCAGCTAACCTGGCTGGCACCTGACCCAAAGGACCAATAAGGAGACAAGATACTTTCAAATCTTGGTTGGGGGGGGGGAGGTTTGTTTGTGCTCTTTGTTTAGGTGGTTGATCTCTCTTGGGACTGAGAGAGGCCAGACAGAAATCCATCTTCTCCAACCCATCCTAATCCAAGTCTCCAATATTGCAACCAGCATAGGTAAGCCAGGCAAGGTGGATTAGTTTATCTTTTGTTTTATGTGAATTTTCCCTGTGTTAAGAGGGAGGTTTATTCCTGTTTTCTGTAACTTTAAGATTTTGCCCAGAGGGAGATCCTCTGTGTTTTGAATCTGAACACCCTGTAAAGTATTTTCCATCCTGATTTTACAGAGATGATTTTTACCTTTCTTTTAAAAAAAAAAAAAATCCTTCTTTTAAGAACGTGACTGATTTTTCCATTGTTCCAAGATCCAGGGGTTTGGGTCTTTGATGATTTTGTAATAAATTGGTTGGGATATTATTCTCAAGCCTCCCCAGGAAAGGGGAAGGGATATTTTTGGGGAAGATATCTCCAAATGGTCTCTTTCCCTGTTCTTTGTTTAAAACGCTTGGTGGTGGCAGCATACTGTTCAAGGACAAGGCAAAGTTTGTACCTTTGGGAAGTTTTTAACCTAAGCTGGTAAGAATAAGCTTAGGGGGTCTTTTATGCAGGTCCCCACATCTGTACCCTAGAGTTCAGAGTGGGGAAGGAACCCTGACATCTGGTTACTATTAATAATCTGTAATGGCATCTGTGTAAATGTGAGAGTGTACTTCTCACGGTAACATCACTGGAGTTGAAGCAGGTAAGGGAACTCTCTAGGTTACAAGAAACCTAACAAATTGGCCTTTATATTTGAAATTCTCCCTCATCACTCTACTGTTTAACATTATGAACCCATTATCTGCTCTATCCACTGTGTGGCTTATGTGGTAACCAAAAAAGTGTAGATTTATAAAAGCCACCGTCTTTCAGAAATAACTAGGTTCCAGTGTCATCAGCCAATGAGAGCTTGTTTTGTTGATTCAATGCTTCTGTCTTGTATTTCACTGGTTGAATTCCTAATCGGTCTATCGTCTGACAGTGTGTCGTTCCTGAATTAGCAGGAACTTTCACATTCTATCTTGCTCTCGTAGTTCATAATTTTCTCTTATGAAAGTTGTTTTTAATTCATTATTCCAAACACACACTTCCAATCAATGAAGAGTAAAATTCTAGAGCTGTGGTTATTTTATTCAGTTCTGTATTTGTATTGATATTGGATTTTGCATTAAAGCCATTCTATTTATTATGAGAAAAGAAAATATTAATGCCATTAGAATACTCTGAACTAAAATAGTCCCTTTCATGATAACAAAGCACCTGACAAATATTCAGCCTTAATATCTGGAAGCAAATCCAATTTGTTTCTTCTGTTTTGTGGGCACAAGTTTCTATTGGCACATTTTACAATGTTTAACTATTTAAACTACCAAATGGTGTGAAATTGGTTTTTAAAAAATAGGTTTGTAGCTCATAGGAAGCCAAGTTGTGCATAGTAGATCTGTGGACTGTTTGCATACCAATTATATGTGGGTGCAAAACCTCAGAGATGAAGCTGGAAATCCTTCTGGAAACCTCTGCTTAAGTCTTAGAATATCTCTGTAATAGGCGTTATTATTCTTCTCACTTAAAAAATGGGTCAGCTTTGGCACAGGGAGTTTAGGTGACCTGTCCAGTGGCAGAGCTGAAAATACAAGCCAGGAATTCTAGAGCCAAGGTCCATGATTTAATCACAAGACAACATTCTTTACCAATTACATTATTCTCTGCAAGTTAATTAAAAAGTACATTCTGTAGTGCGGCAGATTTAGCTTCACAAGCACAAAGCCCAGACACAAGAGTTATTTCTTGAGATGGTCACGCAAACAAGTTTCATAACTACATGCAGTGCTCATGCTTCTTTATTTTCCTCCCCATTTGTTCTGTTTGAGAAACAGAAGCAACATTAAAGCATTGCCAACTGTTTTATTAAAATATATTTTTAGACATTTTTTAAAACTCCTGGAAAAGTAATGTTCCTAGTGTTTACACAATAAAAATTCAGAGTCATATGCACCCTTCAAAAAGGTCATTAAATAAACCAAAACCAAGTGTGGCCTGGTACTAGGGGCAGGGGAGAGAAACCTTGATAAACTTTGTTGTAGGCCCAGCTGTGAGAAGAGTCTTTTCTCTATGGTTTGGTTAGGGAGTTTTTGAAGGTTGAGCAGTTCAATATTTTAACTGACCATTGTCAATTAGGGCTGCCCAGAGATGTATGTTTGTGTTTAGTGAAAAATGTTGAGGTTTTGAGATTTGTTTCTGTTCAAAACTGCATTAATGCAGAACTCACCAGTGACTGCCTGTAGTCCTTCCTTTACCCTAGCCACCTATCCTGCAATGCAGCCAACCAGAATCCCAATCCCTCAAAACCCACCCACTTTGTATTTGTACAATCATTAGATTACACACAATTAGCAGTCAATTCAAATTCCACACCTCACCACCAGCATGCACAAAATCTGAAACTGATCATTCTAACCACCTTGCAGAAAGGGCACCAGACATGATGGACCCTGGTCATGCTCTTTTAAAGACATAAATAACTTTTTCTCCTCCTGCTAGTAGCCCAATGTGCAGCAAAGCACCCGATGAACTAAGGTCTAAGGTAAGGCTAGTAGCTACAGTGGAAGGTTCTCCATTGTGCTATTGCATTCTTACAACTGCACCATATTGTTTCTTTGTAAATCAGTCAGATTTAATTTAGATAATTGTGTGATCGCTCTAGCAACTGTTAACACTCTGACATTGCTGAGTTACTCATTAATGCAGTGTTTACATTAATCCTAGGACACACAAACTTACATTGTTTAAATTCATTACTTATGAAAGCCAAACATCACCTTCTATTGAATGCACACAATAGCAACTAGTACTATAACTTTCCAGCTGTAGTAACCACTAATCATAATTTGGCACTAATGATGCTGCAGTCATTCTGGCTGTGACTTCAATCCGAGAGAAAAATCAAGGTATCACTTCATGTAATTATATCCCCATCATTAACTTAATTCAGTCTTCCACTGATTTGACACCACAGTGTATAAATTCTGAAATTTAAAATCTGTAAGCCTCCCACCTTTTTGAGTCATCCACCTTGTAAATTTGACATATTCATGTATTTGCTTACAATCCAATGTGCAAACTTTTGCTTGACTTGCTGCTTTGTTATATCTTCAAGTGAACATTTAAGTCCAAATATGAAAAAAAAATTATATACATAGGGGAAATTTTGCAAATGCAAACGTTTACAATTACATAGGATGGTAGATGTCTAACTCCTATTTCAAAGCAGAATTAATTACAATTGCAAAAAAAGTGGGCACAATTTATATGTACAAAACAGAGGCCATTCTACCAGCAAATCTGTCCCAAAGCCAGCAAAGCAGGAGCGTACCCATAGTCCTGTTGAAGTCAATGAGACTATTCATGTGCTTAAGTGATTTACTAGATCAGGGCCTTAGTTTCCATTTTCTTTAATTGGCATAACTCATTATTTTGCTCAAGGGAACTCAGCCTTGGATTCTCACTTATATTTTGTCCAGCCTCCTGTAATTATATAAAGCATGGAATCATCCATATTTACAAAGAAGAATCTCTTCCTTCAAGTGTATTCAGGACCAAATTTGCTTTAATAAGTTGACTGATTACATACAGAAATTCATATGCAATTATTAAACATTACTTGTTAAGGGCCAGATTCTGACAATCTTATACACACTGAATGAAATTGTGGCTCTACTGAAGTCAAGAGCAAAACTCCCATTGATTTCAACAAGGCCAGCATGTCAAGTATCGTGTATTGCCTTTCTCTGCCTTTTGTGGGACTACTCCCAGGATTAGATGTCGTAGCCTGCTTGCAAGTTTGGCTTATGAATAATACTTTGTTCTTCTATAGCATTTTTCAAAGTACTTTACAACAGTTGGACTTATTCAGCCTTCAGGCAACCGGATGAAACTCCATTATTAAAGACCCTTGTGCAGTCATGCTATCATATTCTGCAGCTAATGAGCAATTTTCAAGAGTAACCAAATAAAAGACAGAATAATGCATTGGCTTCAGTGGCGTTTGTACCCACTTACAGCAGGATTGAATGTGAGCCCCGTAATTAGGTATCCCCATTTCACAGATACGGGAAAAAAAAAAAGAGAAGTAACAGGACTTGGCCAAGGACACAAAGAATCAGTGTCCAATATCTTGAAAATTATATATGACCTTAACAAACGTAACGTCAGCAATTCTAGACAAACAAGTAGGTGGGAAAGAGTAAAGGAAGAAGAGGCCTCACATATGGTTATTTTAGTAGCATGTAAATGAAGATGCACTCTCCCAGGTTGAGTGATTGCTTCTAAGGGTTCTGCACAATATCTTGCTATGAGATTCCAGGAGCAGAGAACTTTGGAGGGCTGTTAATGAGAAAACACACAACATTCTTTAAATTATACCAGAGTTTTCTGATTTTATCTTTTTAAAACTTGAGAAAAATGTAGTGTAAAAAAATTATTTTTCACAGCAGCATGAAATTATAGCTTTCTTCAGTGTACAATCTTAAATTATGCTACAAGGCCAAAGCGTTTTTCTCTGTGGTTTGTATCCTGTTGGAATCAATCCAAACAATACTTTTCTTCTCTGCTCAGCAAAACCATTATGTTGATTGAATTGAAGCCAACATGCACACTCATGACCTATCTTGCCATAACCTTATTCATAATTTAGTTGGAACAGAACTGAGTTTATAACAATATTGATAAACTAGTGCAAGGGCTTTACTTGTAAAACTTCTATTTTCAGGGATTTATAAACCCATTTAAAGTTGTCTCTTTCTAGATTAAATATGTTGTGCGGATTCTTAAAAAATGATAAATTTTCACTCAGAAAATTTGGGGGAGGAAAAACTATATTAAGTCAAACCCTTGTGGTGGGAGAGAAGAGAGAATAAATGTAATGGCTTTTTGATTTTTTTGCATATTGATAAAACCAGAAAGCTGCCAGGTCTTTTAACGCCTACTTTTCAGCTCAATTATTTCAGCTGAGGAATTTGTTTCCAAAAGGTTCAGAGTAGCAGCCCTGTTAGTCTGTATTCGCAAAAAGAAAAGGAGTACTTGTGGCACCTTAGGGTGCCACAAGTACTCCTTTTCTTTTTTCCAAAGGGTGCTACTGTACACTTCAACAATCTCTGGTGTATTGAATGAGATCGGCCTGTACCAAAATCTCCTACCCATACACATTCAAATTTCATACATCTCTTCCACTCATGTACACTCTAGAATTGCCTGGATCCAGGATACAACTCCATTTATATTAGTGGAAGAACCCAAAGGAGCAATTTGTTCCATGTTATGTCAATAGGAATTTTGCCATTGACTTAAATGAGAGCAGGATTGAACCCTGAATCTGTTTAGGGAACTGCTAACATATTTCCTATCAACCCATATTCCTGCTTCAGTATATGAGCGATGATGTACTGCTACAGAAGAGTAAACAGTATAATGAATGCAAGATATTTCTTACAATGTTACACAAGAATTCAAACAGATTGGAACAGATTGTTTTACTAACATCCAGGTGCTATTTCCATAAAATTGCATGGAGAAAAAGCTGCCATTTGGGGTGTATCCCACAGAGTTACATCAATGTCCTAATCAAGATCTGTCTATTAATACAGTTTCAACATCGACTTCAGTGTAAATACAACCTCTTCCCTTAATATGAACAGGGGCAGAATTCTACTAGGCCATACAGATGGCAAACAATGCAGCACAGAGACAGTTCTTCCACAAGGTATCTTAGGGGTGAGGAGACGCCGTATATCAATGAGTACACTGATCCACCAGCTATCCCTCATATGGGTGCAGTCTAGTGCAGCCCTGAAACTTCATGCAGAGTTTCCTTCTGCCAAGCTCACCTACTCATGCTTGTTAAAAAGAACAAGCACTGACCCTTAATGCGTATGTGTGGAATGCAGATTTCTCCTAACCCTTTATAGCCAAACTAACGTCAGATACACAGCAGGGAATTTTTCAAGACACGAGAGAAGAATCTGGCTTTATAAAACTCACTCGCAACGAACCAGAAGTTTCTCACACCTAAAAATATGAAAACCTACACAAAACATTAAGAGAACATTCTAACAGGTCAGGTCAGTGACATTGTTAGGGCTCCTTACTCCCTTGCAGGAGACCTGGGTTAGACCCCTCAATTTATTTATTTATTTTTAAATGTTAGTGTGGGTTGCAAAGAAAAGTCTTAATCAGCATTATGTAAAAAGCCTAGCAATTCTTACCCTATGGGTTCTATAACATACATTAAAAAGGCACAGGGTTGTATTTGCTCAACAGACAAACATTCATTAACACATGGATTAAATACACACCCACACACACACGTTAATTAATTTTAGCCGATTTGTTCTATTACAGTGGTGTCTATGGGCCAACAGGGAACAGTGCCTTCTGGTGAGAGTATGGCCCATATAACCCAATTACAGTAAACATGAAACGTATCAGAGCAACCTATGTGCACAGACTATATCATCAGCTAGTGTACGTACATATATATTTTGCTCATACAAAACAGAGAGGAGCTCAGAGGGAGATGATTGCACTTCCCAGATTCAGGGCTACTTGGCCCCGCAGGAGTATCCCTAATTTATGTCACTTTTCCCCTGGAACGCCGAGACAATGCCCTTTCCTCCCCTTTTGCTGGAGATGAAGATGGGAAAAATGCAGAGGAGGTATTAGAGCAGCCTCTGCCAGCTTTACACCTGGGGAGAGCTCCCCTGTCGGGGAGACATTCTCCACTGACTGTCTCTGAGGCCACTTTGCACCACACCTCAGTGAACTGGCAAATGCAGCCCACAGTAGCCAGGCAGTGAAATGGTTATTCTACTTCCTAACGTTAGAAAGTTGTAATTGTTAGCCTTTATAAATGCACAGGGCCAAATTCAGAGAAAAGAAGAATCAGAAGTGAGCACACATGCCTGCAGTGAGAGCTCCATGTTTGTAAATGCATGTGTAGATAAGTAGTTGATCTGTCCCTATAACAACCTGTGAGGTAGTTAGTGTGTGCACCCAACTGCAGGTAGATGTCAGCATTTAAAAAAAAAGTGTCACAGTTGTATTTAGGGTGCATACTATTAGAGTTGGCATTTGTAACAGTGATATACTTTGTACCATATCCCAATTAAAATTAGGTGAGATTTAAAATAGTAAAGGAATTATATTTTACAAATAGTAAGAGGAAGAAAGCGATTAGCAACTAGGATCGTTGCTTGAGGATTACACAAGTTTAAGAACAGATCATATCTGACTGAATACAAAGACCACATAAGGGGTTTTTACTTCATTCTCCCCCAGACTAATAGGTTTAAATTATATCTTGAGCATAAGTATAGTGCCATGTATCTATATCCCATTAATATCACTAATTGCAATATTTAGTGTGGCTTTTTTATTTCATATAAGGTGCTTTATGGGAGGCAGAGGCGTTAGATTATTAGTGACTACCTTCCTTTTGATTCTCGTCTTTTTTTCCATTATAGATTAAGTGTGACACTCTGTACCTCAGAATGGCACCCTGGCTGCCTTGGGAGCTGAACTCCCCCTTGACACACTTTTTATAGCACAAATTAATAAGCATTAATTAGCTACAACATATGAACTTGCATTTTTCAGTCTGAACAATAAGTCAAGAGCATTTCTATTCACATGATTTTTTTTTTAAAAGCCATACAGACCAAACTGATAGTTGAGCCAAGTTTCAAGCTCACACGAAATCCATAAAATGCAGTTCCACTTATACAACATTCCTTATATTCAAGCAGAATTAGCAGTGCATAACTATAAATTCAAAAACTTTGGGTTTTTTTTTTAAAGCACTCAGATTGGTCCTAAATCTGCACCTATTAAAATCAATGGGAGTTTTGGGAACAAAGTTAGGCCAGTGCTGACTGAGTGCTTTTGAAAAATTCAATCCTTCAGTTAAAATTGAAAGCAAAACAATCATGTTTCTTGACTTCCCTGGTCTAATTTTATTCTTCATGAAGGGGTTCATTTTGTTTGCTTGGGATTTTTTAATATTTCTTTGTGCATATGAACACATCAAATCATATGAGCATAAGACACTACATAAGCACATTTTAACATGGCATATAAAGAAATAAACTGCATATGAAATCATCTGAAACTCAGTTTTACAGAACTCCCATATATTATCCCTGATTCACCTCTCACACTAGTTTTGCACTAGTCTAACACCATTGACTTCTGTGGACTTACACACTTATAATTGGAAAATCAGGCCCAATGTGCTCACAAGCCGGCCTGTTGAGAAAGAGGAGGTTACTCACCCTGTGCAGTAACTGACGTTCTTCGAGAGAGGTGTCCCTGTGGGTGCTCCACTTCAGGTCAAGGTGTGTCCCAGAGCCTTTGATTGGAGATTTCTACAGCAGTACCCCTATGGGCTGTGCATGCCCTGTGCCTGCCTCTCAAGCAGTCAGCGTTCTAATAGCGCATGCACAGCCCGCGCTCCTAAGTTCCTTCTCTACAATGGAGTGTTACAAATTCTGAAGTAGAGGGGAGGAGGGCAGGCAGTGGAGCATCCACAGGGACACTCATCTCGAAGAATGTCAGTTACTGCACAGGGTGAGTAACCTCCTCTTCTTTGAGAGAGATATCCCTGTGGGTGCTCCACTTCAGGTGACTGAAAAGCTGTATCCCTTAGGGTGGTAGGGACTTCGGATGAGGCAAGAAGGCTGTTGACAAGACAGCTCTACCCAATCTGCTGTCAGACGCTGCAGTGTGATTGGCAAAGGTAAGGTTCAATGCCCAGGTAGCTGCTTTGCATATGTCAGACAGTGGGACACTATGGAGAAAGGCCGTGGAGGTGGAGACAGCTCTGGTAGAGTGTGTTCTAATTGATGTAGGAGGGTATATTTGCCTGAGTTGGTAACAAAGGCGTATGCAGTCAGCAATCCATTTGGAAAGTCTCTGTGTAGAGATAGCGCTCACAAGGAAATGCTGAGTAGTAGAAACAAAGTCTGGGTTTTTTTCTAAATGGTTTTGTTCTATCCAGGTAAAAGGATAATGCTCTGTGAACATCAAGAGTGTGCACTGCTGTTTCAAAGGCGTTAGCATGAGGTTTGGGAAAAATGTTGGGAGCTGTATAGGCTCATTGAGATGAAAGTGTATCTTAGGTAAGAATTTTGGATGAGTGTGGAGTGTGACCTTGTCGCAGAAGAACGTGATATATGGAGGGTCCACCATAAGCGCCCCCATTTCTCCTACTTGTCTGGCAGACATGATTGCTATGAGGAAGGCGGTCTTCATGGATAGGTGAAGAAGGGAGCAGGTAGCCATTGGTTCAAAGGGTTTATCCATCAGGGCTTTGAGGACTAGGTGTAAATCGC